AGGACGAAATACCGCCTCGGATTAGACGCAGTGGCTGCTTAAAGTCGGCCCAAAACACGATTTTTCAAAGACATTTGTGACCGTTTTGATCATTTTTGCTGCGATACTGCTTCCAAACTAAGGTGGATTATCGCACTTTGTATCAAAGGCATGCTAAAGGAGGGGTCGCGTGGGGTCGCGAAATTTTTCCTGGGGGTCGCGGAAATTTTTCGCTACAAATTTGGAGTCGCGAACCGAAAAAGGTTGAGAAACGCTGGCATAGCCGGCATAGCCGTCTTGGGCAGCAGCCCGATGTCGCCGCGGAACCCCGTACCGCCCCGCCCCGCCCCGCCCCGCCCCGCCCCGCCCCCGCACCACCCCGCCCCGCCATGATGGAGGGACATACTCCGGCGCCCCATCCGTCACAGTCACGCCGCTACCCCATCACGCTCGCCATCAAGTGCTCCGAGTGGATGTCTCGCGGAAATTAATATTGCCACGATAACGGGGACGTTGTTTTCGTTATTTCGTCGGAACAGAAACAGTGGCGCGCATTGGGAAGTCTGAGCTGGCCGCAACTTATCTGCGCGGCGCGGCGCCAAACTTAAATTTATGTGGGAGCCCCGGAAGGGCCAGGCAGGGCAGCGCGGGGCGGCGCGGCGCAGCGAGGAATGATATTGTGAAAATGGCTGGCCGCTTCTAGTTCAGCCCGACACGCAACGAAACAACGCGGGTAACACGACAGATTTGGAAATGAGATTTCGTTATGTTTTTCTGTTGTTCGTGTCGTTGGCGCGCCGGGCCGCCGTTTCGGTTCGGGCGTTGCCCTCCGAAAACGAACAAAAAAAGGGAACCAGTAAATGGTTTTGGCGCTGCAGCAGCTCGGCGGCAGCCCCCGCGACCCCGTCAAGGATCAGCACTGCCGTTATACGGCTGCAACATTGTCTCTGCAGACAAGCCAACGATGTCGTGAAAGGCCGAAAAAAGAGCGTCGCCCAGCGGACGTCCGCGGCAGTAAAACGCAATTAGGGTTCGTTAAACCGGATTTAGCTGGTTCGGCGCGGCCGGTATTTTGGACATGTAGGTCGGCGTGTGTGCAGCCTGGCGGCAGTGACGGCCTGGGGAGGGAGGCCCGAGGGACCGCACGGTGCAAGATTTATTGGAGGCAATCTGCCTGATGGTGTCTAACGTCAAGTGACGCCGGGGCCTTGGCAGAGCAGAGCCGAGCCGAGCCGGCGCGGCAGGTGGAGGCGCAGTGTCGTCCTGCTCAACTACAATCCAGGCGCGCGTAATCTCGCAGTGCCGCGCCGATTGTTTGGGTGTACGTTTTCTGGCCGTGACAGCTGAACCGAGGCCGAAGCCCGAAGCCCGCACAAAGCGGAAAACTAATCTTGGGGCGCACAACGCACAGCGCCGCGCTACAGCGGCTCGCCCGACCGCGCCGTTGTTGTTGATCGCTGTGTCGGCCCGGTCGGCCTGCCGAGACACTGCCGCCATTTTGTTTTATTTCGTCCCCGACGGGCCGGCTGCTGCAGCGAGCGGCGGGCGCGTCTCTCTGGACAGGCCCTGGAGACGCCCTGGAGAAGCCCTGGAGACGCCCTGGAGACGCCCTGGAGACGCCCTGGAGACGCCCTGGAGACGCCCTGGAGACGCCCTGGAGACGCCCTGGAGACGCCCTGGAGACGCCCTGGAGACGCCCTGGAGAAGCCCTGGAGACGCCCTGGAGACGCCCTGGAGACGCCGCGGAGACGAGCCACTCGTCGACTTGGAGGGGGTGGGCGGCGCTGGCGGCCCAACCCTGTTTGTTTTATAGGATTGCGGGGTTTAAAGAGGCGCCGCACCGCCCGCCGGCATGGCCAGGTCCCCGTCAGGCCTCGGCCGCCGCGTCGCCGGCCGGGAAAGAAGACCAGCTTTGAAGTTGTCGAGACTGCACCGGGAACCACCCCGCCAGGGCCGCTCGGGTACCCGTCGCTTATCGCCCGGATTGAAAAGGGCGTTATCGGCGACGGCATTGCCGCGGCGCGGGGGGGGGGGGGGGGCGCCTCGGGGGACGGGGGAGGAGGAAGAACTAGGCGCGTCGCCGAAGTTAGCCGGGAGGACCTCGGGGTCGGCCGGCCCTGCCGGCGGGGACGCGCTAGTATTGACGTAAACAGAAAAAGACGTGGCTCTGGCCGCGCTGGCCGCCGCAAGCACGACTCGCCCGACAGTGTGCGTGATCGGACTACGGCCCCTCGCGTCGGCGTGCCGACCGCCATGTCCATTTCGCTATGACACGGCCGTGACAGGCAACTCAATAACCCGGGGCGGGGCGGGGCGGGGCGGTGTCGCCGGTGGACAAGGACCTATATTGGGCGGCGCTGTTGACAGGGAAACATCTCAACAGCAGGCCCGTAAGCCGCGCAAGCCGCGCGAGCCACCCAGTGTAGGCGCCTCGACGACGACCCGCCGCGACACCGCCCTCAGGCTGACACGTCCACGACGTCCAGGACGACGCCCGGGACGTCCAGGGCCCAACGGGATTTAACTCACAGTCCGTCGCCGTTAATATCCAGAGGCCGCCAGTGACGACGCGGCGCATTGGGGCGGGGCGGGGCGCGGGGGCCGCGCGCGTCTTCGTGTTTCTTTAATATCGCCACGTCGCGTCGACTCGACTCGCAGACACCAAATTAAATCCAGAGCTGCACCGCGCGGCGCCCTCCCGCTTTCCCCCTTCCTCTTCCCGCGCGCTCCGCGCCTCGTTCCTGGGCTCTAAATTGTTGGTGAAATTGGTGTGACATAAATTATAATGACTTCATATCTGATGTTCGCGGCACGTCAGCCTCCTCCGCCGCCGTTCGGCCCGGCCTCGGCCCGGCTGCCTGGGGGCGGCGCTGGTCGTGAATTACCGGGCCCGCCGCTTTTTCCAGGAACCGGGGTGGGCTTCGTCGCTCTGTCTCTCTCGCACTCGCGCGGCGTGCCGAAGGCGTGCGAGAGAGACGGAGCGACGGAAGCACCGCTCGGCTGCCGGTGCGCCCGGTCGCGTTTGCCACCACATTCTCGACATTCAGCGTGGGCGTCGTGCCCCGCGAGGCCGAGGCCGAGGCCGTGACGTAGACGCGGAGGCGCGTCCCCACGCACGGCGCGCGGCACGCCCACTCCAACCCCTTATCGCCAAGTTGCCCAAAGTGTTTCGCGGTTGCTTTTCGCTGCGCCCGCGGTATCCACTTTGCCGTGTCGGCCTTTGGGCTTCTGCTGCTGCTGCTGCTGCTGGAGGCTCCCCGTCGTCCCGCGAACCACAAAAAAAAAAAACATTAAAAAATAAACGGAATAAAAAGCAAGTCGTCATTTTGGCGCGGAAAGGGCGAGCGATTTACTTTCGGAATTAGACACGCTATTGCGCTTCGCTTCCAGCGTCTTCCAGCGTCGCCGCCTCCGAGTCGGAAGTAACCAACTGCCGTGATCTCATCATGTTTACCGCACGCCGCGGCTTTTAATATTTCTCCCGCCGAAACATTAGGCAAAAGTATTATTAAAGGCAGTGCTCGGCGAGCACTCCGGTCGCCGCATTCTTCCCGCGCCAACTTTTATCATTACCATTGAGATGTGAAGTTTATTCGGCGAGTGGCCGCGCCGCTGCCCCGCCGGCCTTCTACTTGTTTTCGACTCTTGACTGATCGGCGCGCCGCGTCGCTACCGGTCGCAAATATGGCGGCGGTGACAAAAGCGGGGCGGGGCGGGGCGCGGCCCACCGGGCATTAAATGGCTTTGGCTGCAGATTGCGCCATTGTTCTCGCTCCAGTTGTTGGCAGTTTCCAGTGGAAGGGACGGACGAGGCGAGGCGCGAGGCGCGAAGCCATTCGAACGCCGTGCCGCGGCCCATTCTGGCGTTTCTTGGGCGGTAGAGACCGAGGCAGAGACGCCCCATAGCGCGCGCAGCGTAACTGGCGCCTCGGCCCGCGGAAGATGCGCCCTTGTTAGGCGCGACCGACTGTGCGATTTTTGAGGCGCCGACCTCCGCTAATTACCAGCCAACTGATTCCGTCTCTCTCGCACTCATGGGGTGAACCCTAAAGGCGCGAGAGAGACAGAGCGACGAAAACGACTCTCGGCGTCAGTGCGCGGAACGAGACTTCTTGGCAGTTTGGCGTCGGCCGGCTGGGGAATATGTGAAAACGATTCTGTTTTGGTGGCGCGCCGCACTCGGCGGCACGGCGGCGCGGTCGCGGCGAGCGGCAGATTTTTATCATGGATACGAAAATAATGCGGTGGTGGAGTCTGCTGGCGCACCTGCTTTTATAATTGCAGAGATTGGAGTGGCCCCCTGGGGGAGGCTCGGCCGGGCCCGGCGTAGTGTTTTGTTGCTCTGTCTCTCTCGCACCCCCACGGGATGCCCCACGAGTGCGAGTGAGACAGAGCCACGGTTCGAAAACGCTATCCTGCGCGAATTCCTGGGGGGGGGGGGGTCGCTTCGTGCGGAAACAAAGACGACACACGGGCTGGCCCCCTGCCTGCCTGCTAAGACCAACCTTCCCTCCGATACCACAAAACCCTTATTTTTCTGACCGAAGAATGGGAAATGTGGATCGGGGACGGAAGGGACCAAAACAATAGACTTGGAGGGGGCGGGTGGGGGCAGCACGAATGAGTGAATCGCAGGGGGAGGGGGGGGAGTCTTGGCCCCCGAGGTCGATGAATTGTCGTGGAGGCGAAAGCGAGAGTGAAAGCGGGGGAGGGGAGGGGAGGGGAGGGGTGGACGCTCTTGGCTCTCCACTCCAGCTTATCCCCGAGACTTTGGGGATACGATGTGCACATGACGTTGCGACCCGCCGGCGGCGTGGCGCGGCGTGGCGTTGGCAACCGTGCGAGAGGGGCGCCCCCGCCCTGCGCACCCCCGCCCACCGCGCCCCCGGCAGGCCCGCTTGCCTGCTTTCTTGCCGATGCACCCTCATTTACGAATTAACGCAAATTGGGCGGCTCGACAGTCCCCGCTGTGTTCCCGAGCTTTTCAAGGCGCTAATGAAAGTGTCCCCTTTTTGTTGCAGCGGCGCCAGCGGCGCATGGCTTCGCCCATGGCCCAGCCCGGGATGCCGGACCGATGGGGCGGCCGGGAGCGGGACCCCTCGGGGCGAGACCCCGCGGCCCGAGAACCCGTGGGGCCCCAGAAGGGAGCCACAGAAGGGTAAGTAAGGCCGCGTTTCTACCTTTTCCATTTTAAAAAAAAAATGTTTTTTCTTTTTTCTTTTTTTAATCCCACCGCCGCCTTCCCTCCCATTTCCTCCGCCTTGCATTTCGTTTCCGTCTGCCAATCCCCCTCGGCGTCCCTGGGCGTCAAAACCCTTGGCTATTCACTGCGTCTCTCCTTCTCTGTTTTTTTTTCCTTTTCCCACTCGTCTTGAGACGCAATTTTTCCCTCCAGCGTGCTTGCCGCGCTCTCCAGGGCTGTGCACCGAAGAATGAATCCTGCGCGTTGCACTCTCATTGTTGTGACTCGCTCGACTTTGAACAAGCCCGCCGGCAATCGGCAGTGTGTCTCTCTCGCACCCCTACCGGCCCTATACGGGGCGCGCCGTGGGTGCGAGGGAGGCAGAGCGGCGAAAAAAACGAAAACGAAAACGAGAAAACGCGAGCGAAAACGCGAAAACGCGAAAACGCGAGCGAAAACGCGAGCGAAAACGCGAGCGAAAACGCGAGCGAAAACGCGAGCGAAAACGCGAGCGAAAACGCGAGCGAAAACGCGAGCGAAAACGCGAAAACGCGAAAACGCGAGCGAAAACGCGAAAACGCGAAAACGCGAGCGAAAACGCGAGCGAAAACGCGACGAGAAACGCGAGCGAAAACCGAGCGAAACGCAGCGAAACGGGCGAAGCGAGAACACGCGAGCGAAAACGGGCGAAAACGAACGAGAAAACGCGAGCGAAAACGCGAGCGAAACGCGAGGAAACCACGAAAACGACGAACCGAGCGAAAACGCGAGCGAAAACGCGAGCGAAAACGAACAACGAGAAAACGCGAGCGAAACGCGAGCGAAAACGCGAGCGAAACGCGAGCGAAAACGCAAAACGAGAAAACGCGAGCGAACGCGAGCGAAAACGCGGCGACGAAACAGAACGCGAGCGAAAACGCGAGCGAAACGCGAGCGAAAACGAAAACGCGAGCGAACGCGAGCGAAACCCCGAGCGAAAACGCGAGCGAACGCGAGCGAAAACGCGAGCGAAAACGCGAGCGAAAACGCGAGCGAAAACGCGAGCCGAACCAGCAAACGCGGCGACGCGGAAAGGAGGACGCGAGCGAAAACGCGAGCGAAAACGCGAGCGAAAACGCGCTACCAGTGGTGGCCTAGCACGGCGCCTGCAGCGCGGGCGGCGGCCACGCGCTGGGCACTGGTGCTTCGCGGCCGGCCTACCCTCGGCTTGACAGGGGCCCTGCCGCTCGCCGGCCTCGCTTGGCAGAACTGTTGGCAGCACTAGGCATTGGCAGCACTGGGCAGCACTGTTCGGCAGCACTTGGCTGCGGCCCCCTCGGATAAACGGCCGGCCGAGACATTATTTTCCCGGCGATGTTTTCATGCGGCGTTTACCACCGCCGCGATACGATCAGCGCGTGCTGCGGAGCTGATAATCCCCCGTCGTCTCCGTGCCGTGCCGTGCGTGGACGGGGGGGACCCTTCTTAATTGCAGCAATCTCGGCCTGCACCAGCAGCGCGGCCCGACGCGTGAGAGGAAGGACGCCGTCGTGGTGGCGGTGCACTACTTTCACCCGCTGTTTGGCGGAGGGGAGGGTCCTCCTGGGGTCCGAGCCGAGCCGAGCCGAGCCGAGCCGTGCGTAGGAGTCTGAGTCGCCGGCGTGGCCGTGGATGTCGCGCGAGGCGGTGGCGGCGGGAGTGAGGTGTTGTAGGCCGTAAACTGGCACGAGATGGGCAAACGGCGAAAGTGGTTTGACGCGGAAAGGGAAGCAAGGCCAGGCTGGCAGGCAGGGACGCGGTAAAGTAGGCCCCGCTGTTCCACCACGCCGCTACACTCCGTTCGAGGCGGCCAGGCGGCCAGGCTCGCCCAGGCGGCGCACTTAAGGCTCGGCGTTAGCGCGTCCCACCCTGAGCAGCAAGCCCGAGGGACGCTGCTGGGTCCGCGGGACGGAGGGATGTCGAGGGCCTACAGGCAGGAGACAAGCCCAGCCTGACAGGGCTCCTTAATTTTGGAACAAGAAGAAAAAACAAAGAAGGCGAAAATGTGTTTCTCGAGACGATGTTTGCTCTTAACAAAATGGGGTGAATTTCGCGACCGCTCTGTAATCGTTCTGCTTTTTATGCGGACGCGACGGCTAGGGCCGCTTCGACCGTCCATAGGCTGCATTGTGAACAGCTAGTGGCCTGGCTCTATCTCTCTCTCTCTCTCTCTCTCTCTCCCGTCTCGCCCTCTCTCTGTCTCGCTGGCCTCGCTACCCGCCGCGCTCATCCGACGTTCGCTTGCCGTTTTCATTTTATACCCGGCGTTCTTTATTTCACGGCCGCTGCCTGTGTGTGTGTGTGTGTGTGTGTGTGTGCGCGCGCGCGCCAGTCCTCTTATTTCTGTCCTAGTATTTTTACGGCCCTGGCCGGCGGCAGCGCACATAGCCCTCTGCGATCGCCCTTTTGCGTCCGGCCAGTTTACCTGCCGTGTCCCGCCAGTCGTTTTTTATCCGTGCGAGTGTGTGCGTGTGTCCGTGAGTGTGAGCGTGTTTTGTCTGACGCTCCGACCGGATACCTGCAGTTAATCGCTTCCCTCTCTTTCGGCCCGTCGCAGCAGGCCGTGCCTGGCTGTGCAAACAAAATTTACTCGGCGTGTTTCTCTCTCTCTCTGTCCCGTCGTTCGAGTATGGAAATGGCGGCGGGGGGACACGGTGCTCTCGGTGTTGTCCGCTTGCTCGCGGGACACTTTTTCCGGCGCCGGTGCTTACTGCTCGGGCCGACGGAACTTAAGAGCGACGTGCTCTCTCTCTCTCTCTCTCTCTCCCTCCTCGACCTCCATACCCTCCACCCTCCCCTCTTGGAGCGTGGCGACGGCGTCATGTCTCATCTTTAAAACGACTGCCTCCTCCTCTTCCCCTCCTGGTCCCCCCCCCCTATTCCCTGACGATTCGAAGGGTCGCGCGGGCTTGTACCAGCATTGTGCCGACGGTCAATGTCCGAAGGAGGGGAAGGGGGGGGGGGCAGTCTGCCGGTGGGAAGGTCCGTCCTGCAGAGGTTCTCAAGAGTCTGGAGGTAGCACTGCTGTAGCACTGCTGTGCCTAGCCGCGTGGAAGGGACGCGGCCCGAGGGACGAAAGAGAAAGTAGAGGGAAAGCACTGCGCCTTTAAAGGGCCCGGCTCTTTGAAGGGTCAAAAGGTGTCTGGGCATAAAGGGCGACGGGCTGGGGATGGCGAGGTTGTAGTGGACGTCGTAGTGGACGGAGGGAGACGGGAGGTGAGGGTGGCGTGGCGCGGGGCAGCGCGCCCGGCGGGTAGGCCACCACGCCCCGGGCGGCGCGGTGGAGCGTTCGTGTTGCCTACCCGGCACCCGTCAGGCGCTCCCGGACTCCCGCCTCAAGAGCGAAGCAGAGCGAAGAGGTTCAAGAGGGTTCGGAAATGAGAAATACGCTGTCGAGGTAACGGCCGAGGCTGCCGTGATGCATGGTCGGTCTTTGTCCGTCCCGCAGCTCGCTACCCTCTCTCTCTCTCTCTCCTCTCTCTCTCTCTCTCTCGCAGCGCCGCGACGCAGACACCCGTCTGGCCGGGGCTCCAGCGGGGGCAGCAACCTGCCTGGAAGTTCACGGTCGCAGTACAGTAGGGGTCGTGTCGGAGATGAAGAGGGTGGCGCTGTGGCGGTCCGCCCCGCCCCGCCCCGCCCCGCCCCGCCCCGCCCCGCCTCCAACCAGAGAAACTATTATACGGGCGTTCGTGTCTCCCTCCCCAGACAGGGTACGACGCGCTTTGAATACCTGCGCGCTACTGCGTGTGCTTTCGGCGGCTTAGGCGACCGCCATCAACCTCCACGCTGCGCACGCCGCGCACAGATTCCTCGCGAATTATTCACGTGCTTCCCTTTTTGCGATGCCTCGAATTTCCCCAAGTGCACAGCACGCGTCGCGTAAGCTAGCCGAGTGACGCGCCGGGCCTAATGGTGCAAGTGTTGCAGCGCTTACGTCTCGCGAGGTGTGTACACTGCACACTCTCTTCGGCGCGAATAAAGAGAGGGGGCGTGACTCCGTCTCTCTCGTTCTGAATTTTTGATTGTTTGAGCAGGCGAGCATTCGGGAAGGGGGAGCTAAATGGGAGACAGAGAGAGAGAAAAGGAGAAAGAACGAGAGAGAATTTGTCTTTTTCGACAGGCGGGGTCGGCGACTGGCTGTCCTCCGCGGTGCGGTGCCCGGGCAAGGCCTTGCTGTGGAGTGGCTCGCGGGCAGAAATGAGCCCATCGGTTTTGGATATTCTGTTCCATTTCCAGAGAGCGTGCGCCATCGCTCTGCGAGGAAGGACAGGGAGATATTAAAAGGAGACGGTTGTCTGTCGAGGCGCGAACCGACGGCGCCGCGTTTGCTGCCGCGACGCGACCGAGGCCCTTTATCGTGGAGCCGCGGAGCGGGGGAGGGGGGGACGTCAGGGATGAGCTTAATCCACACCGGCTGTCCACCTGCAGCGACTGTCGACAGAGGTCTTGTCAGTGCCGCAGCCCAGCAGGCGGTGGCCAGGGCAGGATGTTTCTGAAGCGTTTTGCCTGCGACTGGCTGCTTGACTGGCCGCCCCCCTTCGGTGTTATCAAAAAGGCGGTGCAGATCCGTAACGCTGCACCTGTTGCAGCACCTAGAGCCAGCCAGCCAGCCAGGCAGCCAGGCCGCGTCCAGAGCAGTACTTGTTTTGTTTCCAACTCGTTTTAACAGTCGTTATGGCGCTGCCGTAACTAACGCCCCTGCCGCCTTTGCCGCGCAAAGCACTGCCTTAATGTCGCCTCTGTGTGTGTGTGTGTGTGCGTGTGTGTGGACTGCGTCGTTGACCCGAGGCAGGAAGGCAAGGAAGCGTTTTCAACTCGTTCTTTTTAACGAGAGTGGTGGGGTTGCGTCGCGCTAGGTAGAGGCCTGGCCGCGGACTCTTGCGTTTATTGCTGCTGCTGGGCAAGGCTCGTGCACCGAAAAAAAAACAACTTTGAAATAAAAACAGTTGTGCAATAAT